AGCCTGGGAAATGCAGAACCTACTCTCGGTAACTGCGAATCAGGGAAATAGCTTTTTCACCAGGAGAAAGGACTCATGGCTGCTCTGTTGAACTTCAAGGTTTGCTGACTTCGAAACATCAAGTCAACATATTGTATTGTTACACACACTATGAGGACAGCCCAGAGAATGAGAAACAGGGACTGAGACGGTGTGTGTGTGGGGGGTCCTTTAATAATAATTATAAATGTTGGATCTAGATCTGTCAGTGGTGTATCGTAAGTGGGGCAGGATCTTTCATCCTGCATAGCGGAGCTGACCAACCTATGGAGAGAGGGCTTTCTAAGAGAACCCCTTGTTAGTAGTCACCAAATCACTTCCACTGAGGTTCATTAAGAGACCAAGCCAGAGAAGTAGCCTTAATGGTTCTAGCCCGCTTTTGTGGGAATAGTCTGAACAAGAGGGAACCCAAATGGGAAACCCAAAGACACAGGAGGTTCTGGGCCGGCTAGAGGAATAGAAGTGGCTTCCGTTTTGTTCCTGTAACTGAAGAGGAAAGCCTGTCTAACTGAGCATATAGAAAATCATAAGACTAGATGAGACTCAGTACGTGTGTTGGCTGTTTATTGTTAGAAAATCTCCCTTTCTCTCATTGCTTTGTTGCAGTGGTTAGCTAAAAACATTGTTTTAAGGAGGCTGTTGGTCAATCTCACTGGTCACAGATTCCCCCAGGGAGAAAACACGTGCCTGACCCCAGGTCAGGGAGAGACGTGCAGCTAGTTCACTCACATGACACCAACCCTGGGAGCACTCCATGAGGCAATGCAGTCACACTTCTCAAGCTTTCTATTGGAAAATCTAACCAGAATCAAAGGGACAAGACCAGCCCCTGCACGCATAAACATTTTACAGACATGCAATCTGACAACTTCGATCAAGCCAGGCCTCTTTCTAGTCCCAACAAGCTCAGTGAAGATAGAAAAATCCTGCTACTTACTCTCGCAGCTTCTTTTTGTCATCTGTCATTTTCTCTCCAGCAAAGGTTAAGTGATACGTTCTCCATACGTAGGTCCTGTAAAGTCAAAATTCTGTAACTTAACAGAGGGCAGCAGGAACAGCAGCAACCCACAAAGGATCAGAGAATAAGGATGACAGCACAGAGGGGACAGCAATGAACATGACTCAGTGAGCGCAAGTGCTGCTCCCTGAGGTACCCGAAATATGAAAGGAGTGAAATCCTGCTCTGTATGTGGTCTGCCCTTCCACCACTCTGTTCCCAGCTATCACAGGTCAGTCCAGAGTGGAGTGACTGAGCAGCTAGGGCCTTCAGGCTCTTAGTGCCCCACATGTGCTTTACAAGGGACTCCACCTGCAGTTATGTCTCTTGGGTTGATTACACAAATGAAGGCCAGGATTTACGCGCCTCAGAGACAAAAGAAAATGAACATGATTGTGTGGGTGGCTGCTTTACACTCCTCTTGTTGTAGGAGAAATGGTAGTATCAAGGTGCATCAGATTGCCCATAGCACCCTCTTTCCCCTGGGGAGCCCCCAACTCACCAGCTAATGTGCTGTATGCCCCCTTCCCGCTCCTGCTTCAGCTGAACATATCGCTGGATGGCTTTCTTCAGGTCCAGGACACTGGCATTCTGTACCACTACTACAGCTAAAAGGGAAAAGACTGTCACCTGGCAATAGCCCCAGAGATGCAGTTCGAAGGGAGGCAGAGCTCCAGCTCCTAGACCCCGCCTCCACCTGTTGGAAGCTGCACTTTAAGTGGAGTTGCTTTGTGCTATTTGTGGAGAATAAAGAGCAACACTAGGACTGGCTTTCCTTAATGCTCCAATCCAAAAGCCTGTGCCACAACTGCACAGAGCTGGGAACTGGATGATACAAAGCCAGCTTGGCAGCTGGTGAGAAGTGAGGTAGGGATGAGTCTGCCTGGCTGTATCACACAGGAGTTTTTTACTTTATTGCATCACAGCATTTTAGGCCCCTGTGCGTTGGACTCAGAAGATGGTTTGGGCTGCATGGGCCTGGTGAGAAGGCACTAAGCTACAGCACTCTGATATCCTGCTGGCAGTATTCAGAGCCCTGCATGACAAGGAGTTTACTAATTTAGCACCCTTCACAATATCACCATGGTAGGGTGCCATGTGGCAGGGTTTGCCCAACCTCAGACACAGCACCCGCTGCATTGGCTTACTAGCTGGCTCAATACTTAAGTGTTCTGGATTGAATTTCCTAGAACTCCTCCTCAACCTTCTGATCCCATTCAAAACCCAGCCCCTGCAGACAGCCTTCTTTCACCAAGCATGGAATTCCTCCTCAGAGCCCATCAATGCCACCCCTACGCTGGCTAGGGAAGGTCACCTCACAGTGAGCTAAGTGGTGGGGTAGGCACTAGATCAAGTGGCAAAAGAAGATATGGGAACTGAACCTTGGTCTCAGTGTCCTCCCCAGATCCAACCCCACCTCAGCCTGGCTTCAGTAGGAGGCTGCACACATGCCCAGTGCCACTTAACTGCGAGCAACTACCCCAGCTAGATCTACCACGCTCCCCCCGCTCCAGCTTCTGACTGACCAATGCTCCAGAGCTCTAAGATGTGCCTGAGATTTTCAAGGGAGATGATTCAGCACGGTCCCTGCATGTGTGCCATTTAACATGACAAATACATGTCATGCATACATGCAAATACATGGGAGCAGACCCACTTCTCCTGGCTTGTAGCTCCTCCCTTCACTTTAGGTCAAAGATCTGGCCAGTGATTTGTGGCAGGCCATCAGTGTGATCTTAGATATGTCTACTCTGCAATAAAAGACCCATAGCACGGGCATCTGTGGAGGCACCCTCACACAAGAAGGGTGGGTCTCAGAGCCCATGCTCCAGTTTGAGCCTGAACATCTATGCTGCAATTTTTAGCCCCACAGCCTGAGCCATGCAAGCCAGAGGCAACTGACCTGGACTCAGACTCAGTGCTGTGAACTTTTTATTGCAGTGTAGACCTACCCAGAGAGACTCCTAACACAACCCCGACAGTCAGCATAGGGTGCCGTGGGTGGGGTGAAAAGCATGTCAGGGACTTACGCATAACTTCTTCATCCGCCTTGCACACCCGCACAGTCATAGCTTGGCCATACTCCAGTGCAATCTGAGAATTGATTTCCTCCACGGTAACCTGTCCAGAAAGTTAAAGACAGATGAACCACCAGGTGTACCTTGTTCCACACAGCCCTGTTAGCACTCTGAGTGGTGTGACTCAAAGCGTCTGATACCTGCAGCCATGGGGCTCTGCCCTCTTGCCCGCCTCCTCCCCACCCCAGGGCTCTGCCCCCCCATACCCTGCCCCCAATCCACACCCCTAGCACCTCCACAGCCCTGCCCCCTCACCCCCATTTCTCTCGGGCTTTTTCTCCCCCACCCACT